TGTTTGTTGAAGGTAAACTAAATTCACGAACAAATACTTACAATGTCGGGATAGTATTATGAGGTTTTTTTCCTGGTTTTCCCTCATAATTTACTATGGAATCACTAACAGGAGAATTTTACTGTCATCATGGCATGTGTTTGTCTTTTTAAAGACGAATTACATGCTATGATTTTTTTCTGACGGATATTCTTTAGTTAAAGTTGATTTCATGTAATCGAATGAACTTTTTTTACTTTACTTTAAAAATACTTTTAAAAAAAAGTTTTTACTTTAAAAATAAAAAACCGGTTATAACCGGGACAAAAAACAACCGATAAAACCGGTTATTTCTAAGTAAAAAACCGGTTTTCGGTTAAAACCGGTAGGTTTTTCCCATCCCTAATATCGAGGTAAAAACAAATAAGATTTATTGTGTCCGTAAACTAATTTTCGAAATAAGTTTACGGATACAAAAATTCAGATTTTTTATTTAATATGTGCCTTCGAAGAATTGCAAGGCAAAACAAACGTTAATAAAGATGTTATTAGAGACATCAATCAATCAATCAATAATGCCTTTTATTTCTCAATATATAAAAAAAATACAATACAATACTTTTAGTGACATTTGTTCTCCTTGGCACATGCCATCAGGAAGGTTGGCAAACAAATATTCCCTAATTAATATACAAAAAATTACACAAAGGCTTATTCTATCTAACAAGACCATTAAAATAAATAAAAAATAAATTATGTAAATATTCATATAAATGTTAGTAATAAACTAAATGTATATATCCTACTAAGTAACACTTCGCACTAGACTTAACAATAATAACAATGTATAACAGTAAGGTATAGATTACAATTGAAAAGATTGAATATCTCTTTGAGGGATATTCAATCAATTATTGAATAATAGGGCTTGCCAGAACATCAATTCAGTCTATGGTATATATAATAACATCTTTATCAACGTCTGCTTTGACTTGGAATTCTTGGAAGGCACAGAAAAAAGCAAAAATCTGAATTTGGTTTCAAAAATTAGTTTACAGATTTAATATCAGATGTTACTATTTGCGTCCATTCGAAGCCATGTTAGAGTTGCTTCCTAAGACAGAAGAGATTTATTTTCACTTTCAGAGCGACTGTGAATGGCCGTTCTGAAGAACCCTATTAGGGCTAAATACTTATAAGCGGATACACAGATGTACTATACTTGAAATCAAATCTTAATTGTCTTCTCCTTTCATTCCAATTACTCTGTACGAGTACTAGAAACCAATTCGCTAAGGATTTTTGCTTAGTTGAGGAGATATGTTGTGGAATACAAATTTTAGATTGCCTATGTCTCTAATATCATCTTTATCAACGTCTGATTTGCCTTGCAATTCTTAGAAGCCACACGTTAAAACAATAATATTTATTGTTTTAAAAAATGTAAACAAACAAATAGTTAAAAGTAAAATATTTTGTAAACTAAATAAATTGTATACATACATGTAAATTATGTTTGGAACATAATATGGAGACACACATGGTATTTATTGATCTTCAAAAGCGCATGACAGTGTCCCATTAGCCAAGCTATGGCAGGTGCTAGAAGACAAGAATATTCCAATGATTTACATTAATGCTGTACGATGATATGACGAGTGTAATAAAGATTGGACAAAAAGTGACAAAAAAAGATAAAAGTGATCAAAGGACTTCGCCAAGGCTGCTGCATTGCACCTACACTCTTTAAGATTTATTTGGAGGGGGTTTTGGATATTTGGAAAAGAAAATGTGAACCTATGGGTGTTAAAATTGGAGACCATACACTGTACAGCTTGCATTTTGCTGAAGACCAAGTAATACTTGCAGAAGATCAAGATGATATCCACTACATCTTAGGAAAAATAGATGAAGAATATACTAAATGGGGCTTATCAATTAATCCATCAAAAACAGAGTACGTAGTGGTGGGAGGTGAAGGAAAGCACTAGGAAGAAAACAAATTCAAAATACTGATAGCTAAGTATCTCGGTGTAAACATTACAAACAATGGTCGGAATACAAAAGAAATAGCTACTAGAATTGGTCAAGGAAATTGAGCAATACGTCAACTGAATAGTATACTTTGGAATAACCACATCACCCGAAACACAAAAATTAGGATATACAAAAGTATCATAGAAAGCATTGCTACATATGGTTCCGAGCTTTGGGTAATAAATAAAAATGACGCATCCAAAATAAAAGCAATGGAAATGAATTATTGGAGATGTTGCCAACTCATTAAAAGAGATAGAGTAAGGAATACCGAAATCAGAGAGCGTATGGGCATAGACATTGACATCCTGGAAACTATAGAATGCAAAAGATTGAAATGGTATGGCCATGTAGAAAGGATGAATGATCAACGATGGCCAAAGAGAATGTTACAGTGGATCCCGACCAACCGCAGAAAAAAGGGAAGACCAAGAAGATCGTGGAGACAAGAAGTAAAAGTTGCAATGGAAGGTAGGGGTCTACAAGTAGATGACTGAAATGATCGCCAGCGTTGGGAGCTAGGTTGCGAGAAAGGGCGGCAGCTGTAATAAACTCGTTATATATATATATATATATATATATATATATATATATATATATATATATATATATATATATATATATATATATATATATCTTGCAGATTCCCCAATATTTAAGAGTTTACTATATATATATATATATATATATATATATATATATATATATATATATATATATATATATATATATATACATGTAAATTAGCTCTACAGTCCATGTAGGCCCATGGCTTGAGATTCTAAGTGTGCGCTTATAACGAGGTGTCGAACCTCGCTCGAGCCATAGAATGGTATCATATTATCATCGCCAACGTTCACTGTTAAAGCGCAGCTCCCAGCCTCAAGCCAGGTATCGGACTATAGTATTCAAGCTTAGTATTTTTTCGACCCACGACCCTAGTACTCTACGATCGAGACTTCGAGGCACCGACCACCGACCCTCGCTCTGTAGAAGAGAAGAAGAAAAGGTTTGGGCAGAAAAAAGAAATCCTGGCTGAGAAACTTCAGAGAATGGTTTCAAATACCAGAAGCTGCGAACATAATACATGCGGCACAAAACAGAAACCTATCGTTTGATGGTCGTCAACGTTCGGTAGAAGACGGCACATAAAGAAGAAGAAGTTCACTGTCAGTACTGTAATCTAGGCGAGGACACGATGCGACGGTCTCCATAATGAACGCACCCTTAGAGTTTTATAAGCTCTCACCTAACTCCCCAAATATTTCAATAAAATAGTATCCAGAGATTAAATACTATCGTGGGTAACATTTTGCTATAATAAAAGTGCTGCCCACGATAGTATTTCATCTCTGATTCCCAAAAATATGTCTAAGTTAACCTTCTCTATTACTTCTGTATTAGATATTCAATGTAAATATCATTACAATGTTACCGTAATAATATTTATATTGAATATCGAATCATCTGCGTCTGTTATGGATCTAAAATGGCTTTGTTGATGCATCTGATAGTTGTTGTTTACTCTCTTATTTTTCCTGTCGGTCCTCCCATGGCACGTTAAATCCCCCTTGTTGTAGTTTACTATATCATCGTCGATTAAACCCGCATGGGCTTTTCTGTTTTTAACAAACTTTCATTCAATCATTTTTTGCTTTACAAAAACAATACTTTAGTTTTTGAGATGTTATTGCGTCTATAAGTACGAATAATTTTTAATACAGATGGACACATTATCATTTTCTTTTTCCTTATCCTTGTCCTTAAGTCATATCAATATCAATACCCTTTACCGACATGTCTTGCCTAAATGTCTTCCCCAGGTCTTCTGTCGTTCTTCCCTCCTACTCCTTCCAGGAATTAGCAGATCAGCAATTCTTTGTTTTGGGTGATTAATGTCTCGACGTTAAACCTAACCAAACCATCTTAACCCATGCTCTTTCATTTTGGCCACAATTGGTGCCACCCTTAAGCTTCCCCTAATAAAACCATTTTAATTTAATCCTTTTTTGTCACTCCACCCATCCATCTAACAAACCATCGTTATGCCTCTTTCATTTTAACTGCCCAACATTCAGTTCCTTACATCATAGCTGGCCTTATTGCTGTTTTATAGATTTTTCCCTAAGCTTCGTTGGAATTTTTCTGTCACCCAACACACCAGTCGCTTCCTTCTACTTTAACCATCCAACCCTAATTTTACTGCATCTTTATCTATTTTCCCATTACTCTGTAATACCGATCCTAGCTACTTAAAAACTAAAAACTACTACTTTTCATAATTATTTCACCATCTAAAGATCTAAACAGTTGATGACTTGGTTTTGGATAAGGGGGAGGACAATTTCTCAATCTTCCAATCAAATTAAATCTAGAGCTTCACGTAAAGATTTTCTGCAAATGCCCAACGATTATATTTGTGCGACGGTAAAATTGAAGCTATTAAGTCGAATATGCAAAACGTGTGATCTTTATCATGCTTCTGTGAAGTCACTAATCGTCACATTGAGAAAATCTGATGTGCGTTATCCAAATGTAGGACACCACCACAAATAGCTTGATGAGAACAACGTAGGAATTCCAAAATCGGATGAAAGTGAGCAGACACACAGCATTGAGCAGCAAACATCTAATATAATCGAAAACTTAGAATCATAGATTCGGGTGCCATCAACTGAAGACTATTGATTGGAATTAATATGTATACCAAAAATGTAAAACAAGTTTGTTTGTTCGTAATATTACTTAAGATTATAATATGTGTACCTTACTTTATTTTGTGTACCGTGTCAATAAAGTTTGTTTGATTAAATATTATGTGCGTTAACGTCCTCTATCCTAAATCTATTATCGTATTTCTACAATTATAACTACTGCTTATAAATCAATAAAAAAACAGAATACATTCTATGAAATGAAAGAAAAATGAATAACACACTATTCAAGTATTCATCATATATCAAAATATTCCGTTTATATTTCAGTGACCTGCCCACCATTTGACCCATCGAAACCTCCAGTCTACGTACCTGATCCAGTCTACTGTGATATATTTTACGAATGCTCCGGAAGTACCCCCTTCGAGTTCCACTGTGCTCCCGGAACGAACTTCAATATCGAGAAAGGTCTATGCGACTTCGGAGTTGACTGTGGAGATCGTTCAACAACTATTGGAACAACGACGGAAGAAACAACACCAACACCATCATTCTGATAAAGATATGTTCAAACTTTAATAAAACTTTAACCATTTTTACTGTTTCTTTTAATCCTAAAAAATTCACAGAAAGATAATTCAGAACGCAAAAAACGGGAGAGAGAAGTACTCAGAACTATTTTTCTACATTTCAACATCACGGATTCCTTCGCATTTTAACATTTTCCTACATATTTTGTAGGAATGAGTATTTTGTTGCGGCATTAGATGGCCCAAGTATTCAAATTTCCTCTTTTTTATGATAAGTTTTCACTTAATTGAAGACCTTACGAAAGTAAACGACCAAGAGGAAGACCACAGATGAGATGGGTTGACGACATTAAAAGAATAGCCTTACTCTCATTAATAAGTGTAAGAATAGCTCAATAGATTTAATTGATATATTTACAGGCATAAGAACACGAAAGTATATCAAGGTTGTAAACGTGTTCCTTATCTAAAATACTATTATTAAATATTATTATATTACACGGACTAAGTATACAATACACACGGCCTTGTTTAGAGAAGTCCATGTTTAACAAATATTACAAAATAGGGAACAGAATTCTATTAGGATATAGATGTAGAGATTGCTGACATGTAATAACACGAGATTATTTCAACCGAATTTGGGTAAAACGTTAATTGTTAAGTTTGTTAAATAAAATACAAAAGTATCCATCTGTAGTCTTGAAAGTTTAACATGGAAAATCAGTTGGTTGAAGTGGAAAGGACCCAACATCACACTTTGCTGGTATTACAATTATATATTGGATATTTTTAGTGTTTAGATTTTATACTAACTGTGTATGCCAAGTGTGTTAACGACTCAACAAGAAGTTGATATAATGTAACCAGCTATTATTGTTATAATAAAAACGTTCATATTTGTCAACGTATTTTTTGTAAAATTCCATCTAAGTATACTCTTTCCCACCATGCTTTCCTATGAGGTTATGGGCTCAGAGTTGTGGGAATAAAAAATTTAACATAGCGATACAAGGAAACAACGTTTTTACGAAAACGGTGGTAATACTTTGATGGAAATAATTTCTCCAACTGATTATTCAGAGTTGAATTGTTACTAAAATAAGCTCGTGTGTTACAGCTGTACTATCCCAAGATGAACCCTCAGATGATGCTGCTCTAATAATTTATAAGGAGAACAGGATATGAAATCCCGGAATCTAATTGTGCAATGTTTGCATGACAGTGAAATGAGCGAAAAATGGAAGAGCTCTTCGACGACGAAAGAGGAAACCTACAAGATATATCTTTTGAGGACAGAGAAACAAGTATAGAAATTACAAAGGAAGAAATCTTGTATGCACTAAAGAACACCAGAAATGGAAAAAGCCCGAGGCCAGATCAACTGCCTATTGATATCCATAAAATAGTAGAAAATGAGTACATGGATGTCCTCTTAAAGCTCTTTAATGAAATTTATCAGTAGGGTGACATATCCAATGAATGGTTGACCTCAACATTTATTTGTCTCCCAAACCACCGCACCAACGCATTTACCAAATACTTGATGTGGATGTTGAAGAAACCCAATTTGGATTCCGTAGAGGCGTAGGTACTCGTGAAGCTCTCTTTACATTCAATGTACTAATCGAGAGATGCTTGGATGTGAACCAAGATATAGATTACAACAAGGCTTTCAATAAAGTTCGCCACAAAGAGCTAATCTTCTTCTTCACGTGCCATCTCCGCGACGAAGGTTGGCATGGCAATCATCATGGCTATTCTGATCTTAGATGCTACTGCTCTGAATAGTTTAATTGATGTGCATCCGTACCATTCCCTCAAGTTATGCAACCATGAGATTCTTCTTCTTCCTACACATCTCTTGCCCTGGATTTTCCCTTGTATAATCAATTGAAGTAGGTTGTATCTCTTATTACGCATAACATGCCTCAGGTATTGGAGCTTTCGTGACTTGATCAAAGACAATGCCTTAAAGCAAAACAATTACAATACAATGACTTTCGAATTATAACAAATCTATATTATAAACAGCAGGCACACATACGCATTAATGAACACACATCAAGAGAGTTCGAAATTAAACGAGGAGTGCGACAGAGGTGTGTATTGTCACCACTACTATTCAATACATACTCTGAAGAAATTATAAAAAGAGCTTTTGAGGGAGAAACAGCAGTAATACAGGTCAATGGTGTATTTCGAATAGGTCTAAGTCCAATAGACCTTACAGGTCATCAGTGAACCCAATTTTTGAAAAGAAAGATTTTGATAGTCGTCCCCATGTTAATTGTTTAGAAGTTAATGTAGATAGAACAGACCCTTGGTTCGATAATTTGAGATCAAAGATAGTCCGATCCCCCATTGATTATCCACAGTGGAAGGTGGAGAATGATTTTGTTTATAAGTTTGCCCCTACCAAAAATTATTTTAAGACTAATGATGTAGAGTGGAAAATTCTTGTGCCCAAACCACAAAGGTTTGAAGTTATGAAGTCTTGTCATGAGCCACCTACGTGTGCTCACTTTGGATTTTCCAAAACTTTGTCCCGTATTCAGGAAAGATATTATTGGCCCCAGATGCGTGTTGATGTGCTTAAGTTTGTCAGGTCATGTAAAGTTTGTGGTGCTCAGAAGACACCAAATTATGCTCCATTAGGTAAAATGGGTAAGCAGAGAGAGGCCAAGTTTCCTTGGCAAATAGTTGCAATAGATCTGATAGGTCCCTTTGTTCGTTCAAAGAAAGGTTATACGTGGTTATTAGTAGTTGCTGATTGGTTTAGTAAGTATACTTTAGTCCAACTTTTGAGGAAGGCCACGGCTAAGAATATTGTTGAGTTTTTGGAAAATGATGTTTTCCTAATGTTTGGTGTTCCTCAATATGTGATTTGTGATAATACCTCAAATCTGAACAATCCTCTCTTAATTGAGCTCTGTAATAGGTATAACGTTCAGAAAGTATGGTTTAGCCCAGTATATGCACCTCAGTGTAATTTTGTGGAGAGGAACAATAGAACCATTGGCACAGCAATACGTACGTATGTTAAAGACCACGTAGATTGGGATAAGAATTTAGCAAAGATCAGACAAGCTATTAACACTGCAAAGCATGAAGTGACTGGATATACTCCAGCTTTCCTGAATTATGGCCGTCATGTTCTTTTAAGTGGAAACTATTATGGTGTTGATCATAAGGATCAACAGAATCAAGATATCGAGATAATTCCAGGTGACCGTAACATGTATGCTTCAGAAGTCAAAGGTTTAGATAAAGTTTTTGAAAAGGTTAAGGCTAATCTTCGAAAAGGATATGAACGTAACGCTAGGAGTTACAACTTACGTAGAAGAGAAGTCCAGTTTCAAGTGGGTGATAAAGTTTGGAAAAGAAATAAGGTTTTGTCTTGTTCTGTCAACAAGTTTATGTCCAAACTAGCAAAAAAGTATATTGAAGCAACTATCAAGGAAAAATTGTCACCACTGGTTTATCGTTTGTCAGATTTAAATGGTTCAGATCTTGGTAAGTGGCACATTAAGGATTTAAAGCCTTTTGTATCAGATGAGGACAATATGTCATGTTTAAGTAATTAGTTCATCCTATCCCTTGTCAATGTTTTTGAGTTTGTATGTTGATTTGATTTCATCCCTTTGGAATATTGTTTCACTTTTGATAATTTTAGTTCTGGTAACCTATTTTGTTTGGGAGACACATGTGAGAATCACATTTTGTCATATGTAGGTATATAGATTTAGGGTCTATATCCTAATTTTTTTGTGGAACCGTTGCCGAATTCCCTGTCTCGCTAGGCGTATAGTGGAGATGATAGACGCCTACCTGTTAAGTGTAGAGCAATTTATTTTGGATTTGTGCATAGCACTTGGTTTAGGCAACGAGGTGTCATGGCTATGCCTGCCCGACAAATCACTTGTGTTACTGCTGTGAATGTCAGCGAGGTTCACTGCAGGGCATAAGGTTAGCTTCCCCCAAGGCATAGAAACTCATGTCACCTACAGTTCATTTTAGAGTTAAACATTTCAGTCTACTCGACTTTAAAGAGTCTGGCGATCGATGGCACGCTAGCCCATTCTTTGTAACTAACTTTGTTTTTGTTGTTTAATCCCATGCTAGCCATCATCTAAAAGATATTATTAAGAAGTTTCGACTCAGTTAAGAGGTCATCTTCTGATTTGGTTTTTGTTGTTTTGCCTTTATCAAAAACTGGATAAGAATTATCCGAGTTTTTTCTTTTAAGAAGGGGCATTGTAGCGTTTTTTTTTATTTATTGTGTATATAAAAGATTTCTGTGTTACGCTCCTGTTGTTTTTACCAAAGAAAACAATCGAAATAATATTTCAAGTTTTTTTGACGAGATTTTTAAATGCGTATTAACGCTGGAAATATGTTTTTATCTCTGTGTTGCAATGTTAGGTAAAATAACAAGTTTTTTGTCGCCAAAGAGGTATTATGCTACATGAATTCCCCCTAATATTCCAGTTGACAAAAAGTTGTTTTTCGTTATTAGAATGAGAGTCAAAAAGAATATTTGTTTATTTAGGATACCAATACTGGCGTCTAAAAACGCAATAAAGGAATATTTAAAAGGTTTTTTTGTCGATACGAGCGAGGGGATATTGTTTTGGTTCTTGAGTTTGTGGGGACAGGTTAGCTGCAAGACGGAAGGGAAATTTTTGGCGAGTTTCTTGTAAAATGTAACGAAGCAGAGGTCGACATTTAAGTTCCAAGCAGGGCAGACGTGCTACAATGTAGAGTGGAAGAAAAGATTCGAATGGAGAAGACGTTTTGATTTGTCGGTAAAGAGACCGGCAAAATTGGTTGAGAATATTAGACTCTATGTAATATGTCAGTTTAGAAAAGAGTCACCACTATTTCTATTTTTTTCTTTGGAGTACATTAGAAGATTTGTATAGATACCGTTTTGAAAAGTATTATATAGGATGTCCCTTAGCTTTGTTGTCGTTTTTCTTGTTTGATACAACCCATCTACGTCAGATCGGCGTTCCAGATTATGGAGATGGTCTTCTTTTGTTCCTGAGTATGGAAATGGTTC